TATTACTAAGTAAAATAAATGTAAAAAAAAAAAATCATGAAATAGGCTTAAGAGAGCATTAACGACCTCGAATAATTGTAGAATACATACATTTTTGCACATATATTTGTATGAGTACATAAGATGGTTAGTTTTATGATTTTTTTTGTCCTTGTGAATTGTGAACAGAACAACAATGATAAAAGTTTTTATTTCCTAATTAATAATTTGAAATGTTAAAAAAAAAAAATGCTTGCTTGATGTATAACTTCTATAGCAGAAACTGGAATTTAAAATACAATAAAGCGTATCAGAAACATTACCTTATGGGCTGAAATTTGAGTAATCGGTGTACACTCCTTAACAATTTTTAGAAGAGCGTACATAAACACAGAATACATGAATGCATACGCACACCTAAGCAGATTGCAAGTGGCATAAATACATACTTTGCATTATAATTTCACATTATTTAACAAATATTCGGTATATAATTAAAGCCATAGAAAAAAAAAAATTTTTTCGAGTCAGTTTTGTTAGACATAACAAATTGATTTGTATGCATTAGTTGCTGACACCTAAGTCAAACTTTAAAAATCTATAAAGATATAGAACATCATAGAAAAACTGATTAATAATAAAATATATATTAAATTGACCTGAATCTCAACGAAATGGAAAATCAAGTTAGGGAAATGTGTAAAACGTAAATATATATAAATGCATAACTGAGCTTATGTGTATGAATTAGTATGTGTTATAAAGTAAGAATTTTACACAAACTATAAACATTATATGCACACACATAAAAGTATTATTAGTAACTTCTTAAAAATAAATTGATGCAATTATGAGTCATGCAAATGCATGCAGAGTAGTATATAGGCATGCTTTAATTAAATTCTTTATTATTTTATGAATGTATTTATGGAGTTCAAGAATAACTGAGGAGCTCTGCTAAGAAGCTTATTTTGTCAAATATTCCTAATGAATAATAAACACAAACCGATGCCTTAGCAGTTGCATAAACAGAAGAAATCAGTATTCAGGATAGGTTCATCTCATTGGTAAAAATGAATGACGATTTCGCATTACAAAAAGGTGAATGACACCAGCTACAAAAATAATTTACATCGTATTTCCGCCCCCCCCCCACCCCTCTCCCCCCCCCAAAAAAAATCATATAATATTAATAAGTAACAAAAAATCAAAAACAAAACTTATCATAAGATAGAATGAAATAATGAAGATAATTTTGAAATGAATACTTGATTGACTGATTTAATTAGTATAAAGGCACAGATTTATAGGTTTTATTGTTGGATTGCAGTGATAGGTAACTGCTACAATGACAAACCAGTTCCCTGCCTCAAGGCCTTGTAACTATTCTCTTGTACCAGGGCAACTTCTGTGCTCTAAATACAATCAAAATCAGCAGATTGTTTTATTTTAATTTATAACAAACAAAAAAAGTTAAAGCCGATTTAAAAAAAATAACAAATTCACAATATGAAAAAAAAATTGACAATTAAATTTTGTAATGAATTAACTTGAATAAAAATTCAAATATTATATGCCAATGATACGGAAAAATTAACGTAAATACATATGAGTTCAATCAGAAAAAATAAAAAAATTATTAGAATCAAATCTATTAATACCTGATTGCAATGCAGTAAGCCTGTGTAATAACATGGTAATTTACAATCAACTTCTAATTAATTGAACATTGACACCAAATAATAAATTAATATGTGTGTATGAAAATATAAATAAATATATATACAATGTAGAATAAGCCACAACAGAAATAGAAAGTTATCAAGTTAGCCCATTTCACAAAGCACTATGATGTAATGAAATGTGAAAACTATTGTTAAAATGATCATTTAATTGAGATACGATATTATGATGCTTTACCTATTTTTAACGGATTTTCAAATTTAGTGCGTAATAAATTTTACATATTACTAGATAAAATCATAAAAGGATGTGTATGGTATTTCCCTATACACTACAACTGATTAATAAACTATAATAAAACATATTTGTTTCCTATTTGTTTAATTACTCTAATTTTGATTTAAGCCTTGAATTTACACCAACTACAAACATTTCTAGTGCAAAAAAACAAACAAAAAAATAATAATAAAATAAACAACACGGACTAGGTACCCTGTGAAGTAGAACAGAGTTGCTATTTATCGATAAAAATCCCTGAAGGAAATTATATAGCCTTGGTAAAAGCGTAAAATTAGTTGGCCTATTGAGGGAGGGATCTTAGCAATGTTGAAATCGCCAACCCAACAACTTCTCTTCTTCAAGCATTAAGCCTACCCCGAAGGAACTAGCTCCCATAGATTTTTCTTACTTTATGTTCAAGGGAACAACTTGAACTTTTCCGCTTATAACTGTAAAAAAGTTTGTAAAACTGCTTAGCAACTTCTTTCCAAAAGTAATTCAAAAGATGGAAATTCGAGAGTGATATCATAGCTATCTAAAAACATGTTAATCCTCCACAAATTATAAACGAATGAATTAACCACGGGAGGAAAAACTAAAGATTAATTAAACTACCAGCTAAATGCTGATCAAAATTCATTTATAAATATTTTATGTAATAATTACGATCAAGGAGTAATATTAGACCGAAATTTATAAGAAAAAAAATTTTTTTTTGAACGCTATATATTTAGAAGAAAATTAATCCTCGATGAAAGCAAAAGTATTTAACAAGGGAAAATAACCTCAAAAGTGAAATAAATTTTAAAAAATAAATTATTGGTAAGGAAAATTCAAAATAATTGTGAAATAATTATAAAGAGGGAGTTGATTTTGTTTTTTCGGTTTAGTCTTGATATTGCCCGTGAATTCACTTCAAGGTTGCCGTAGACCGATCAAGTGTTTCTTAACCCAGGCCGAAATGCTACTCAGGCTAGAACAGGCGAATACATATATCTCATATACAATAGATTCAAGCAACAAAAAGCAAGGATCTTAAACTAGACCAATTTCTCATGTTAATTTTTTTAATGGTGAATAGAAACTAAATTTAAAACAGGTATAACTAGATTATTTTAGGAATTTCTTAATAAGTTTTTAATATGATATGATTAAAACATTTTTTTAAGAACTAATACCACACGCCGGCATAAACATATATGTCAAAAATTACTTAACTTTACCAACTTGGGTTTTCTTTTAATTCTTTTTCGAAAGTTTGCAGGTTAAATATTTTGATTTAGATAGGCTTAGCTATTTTGTGAATATAATCCCGAGTTTTAAATAAGAAATAATGTGGGCACATATTTATTAACATCTATTAAACGCACTGGATAAGTATAAATATTTACAAGAGGGTAGAAATCCAGACATTTTAAAAAATAAACTCCTTATTCGATGGAATTGAAGTAACATATCTTATGACATACTCATATTTACTTAAAATAATTTGTTTTTAATTGGATTTTTCTATTAACTAGGCTTTCATAAGCATATCCCTATTTTAATCATTTTTTATAATTATTCCAAATTCCCCAAGAGAAGAGAATTATGAGGATATTGGAATGGGAGATGTCAACAACCCGAAGGATTGTGCCCGCAGTAATCCTCTGCTTCAATAGAACCATCGACAATCGAAACACAGCTCCTACCTTCCTTAACGCTTCAAGATAAGTATTTCTTTTGGCTAATTATAATAATTATTATTATTTACAAATCAAAATAATAGCTTTAAATTGGGAATAATTGAGTCTTTAATGATACCCATGTTTTACACCTACTTTGCAAGCCTCATCAAAACTATTAATTAACGTGAGTCAAAAATTAATATTGTTTTAAAATATTTTTCAGTAGAACCCCACAGTCGGAAAACATTGGATAAAAAATCATGAGTTTCTTAAAGATTTTAATATACATTTTTTCAGCCAACAGAATAATGTCAACACGCATATTTCACAAATTATGTGAGAAAATAGATATAATTAGGTTTAAAAATGAAGGTTCGAAAAGAATTTGAGACAATTCAACGAATCGGAAGTGAACCATATAGTAATTAATCAAGTTATTGTTTAAATAAATATAGTCACTGGTGAAATGTGTCTTATGAAAGTATATTATATATAAATATTTATCTAACATAATTAATAATATTGTTTCTAATAATTATTAAAGTATCATCGATTAATGTATTTAGTATTTTTTCTTGATTTTGAGTAAGTATCTCACCCATAGTCGGTCCATTAAGTCCGAGGTTTCGCGCTTTTATATAACGCAACAATGTAGTTGAGGCATCGAGGTTGTCTGCTTAGGTAACTGGTGAAGGGGGCATGTAAGGTTCTATCTAGACTATTGTATATAATTATTTCATTAGCAACTTAAAAAATCTTTAATATGAAATGGGCCCCAACAATCTTCAAACGCTGGAGGGGATCTCGGTGGGGAGCGAAGGCGGGCAGGCTGTTGATTCAAGCCGTTTTCCGGGAACTTGACTCATAAATTCTGCCTTGGACGGAGCAGTCACCCGACGACGCAATCACGCCTAGCCGGATTACAATATTAATAAATGTCTGCCGAGGCAAACCGACTCAAAGTAAGAATACCAGATCTATGTAGCTAAAATTGAACGCTCATTTCGATAAAAAAAAAAATAAGAAGGATACATCATAATTTATTTTGTAATTTGTATGAGTTATATTTCCGTGGTAGTCAATTGTTTAATAATTTAGAATACTATTTACTTGAAAGTTAAAAAAAATAAACGGATCTTTCTTTAAATTTAAATATTCGGCGTTATGTTAACTTTAGTTATTTAATTAGACAACCGAATCATTTGTATAAAATAGAGCCATAGTGGTTAAGCTATAGTTGAGTTAACGGAACATATTTTATATGAATACAGAGCTAGGAAACAATTCACTGAGAATAATAAATGAGTTTCGTAAAGCTTTTGTTTGTTATTACGAATTTGATAACACGAGAGACATGCATAAAATTTAAAAATAAATAAAAATATTTCTTACCTCTAAATGTGTGAAACATCCATTAAGATGATGGGTCGCTCTACAATGGGACGAGAAAGACGACCAGAGATCCTCGGCGAGAAGAGAACTGCCGGGTCGGACGGTGACCTGCCACTAGTAAACAAAGGCCCGAAATAAACCGCTGGAGGAGCAGTGGAGGGGGGAGGCGATGGTGGGGGGCGGAGGGGGGCAGGTAGAGGGGAGGGGATGAGTCATCCTCATAATCTCCATTGACAGCGTTGCAGCTGCCGCTAAGCACGTGGCCCTTTGTGCACCCTCGGCTCACATGTGATTTTCTGCCAGTGGCCCAATTAATTGCATCGGATGCCGCCCATCGGGGATAATGCCACGGCTGGGAAAATACGCTCCGCCGGGCAGCCCCATCCTATCTACCTATTATTCCCAAGGCTCCCTTGATTAAAACTTATCTAAACTGGATTAATAATAGTGAGTCTGTGGATTAGGGGCTTTGAATTAATCGCACTTTATTGAAAGGTATTCCGAGGAACGCGTAAAGGCTAAAATCGTCTGGAAATTCCAACAGCGAGTCGAAATTTCAATGTTGGTATTTTATTCCAAACAATCTTTCTATACCACATCCGCTTACTGGGTGTACAATACTTGAAGATATAAAAAGAAATAGCAAGTAATTCTACTGAGCAATTGGTCCTGTTTGCTTAACATAGATGCTGGAAGGAAGTCGAGAAAAACTTATTTATTGCCCACAGATTCCTTCAGGTAAGGAGACTTGTTTCAAACTAGCCAAGTTAAAATATATAGAAATATAAATAGAAAAAAAACTTATTCTGGCCAAAATCCAACTTAATAAAGATTCAAAAAATATATATACAACATAAATAATAGTATGTAAACTCTCAAAAGTAAAATAAAATCTTCTCAACTATACTTATAATTGTACTGGGGAAAAAAAAATACTTGTATAGAAAGAAAATGCAAAACTTCCAGAAAGAAAAATAATCACTTGTAAGTAAATAAAAAGTATTGATTTTTTAAGTCAAAACAAACAGCTAAAACATACAAAATATATACATGGATTAAAGATATATTAATGGCAGAATATGAGCAACAGGATCACAATATTGCATTACCGCGGCATAACAGATATAAAATAAGAATAAATAGATAAATGCAATTAGGAAGGGGCATTAAATTAATTTCAAGAGAAAGAGAAAACGAAAAAAGAAACTAATTAAAAGAAAATAAATTATATTATCACATATGTATATATATATATATATGTATAACGAAAAAAGAAACTAATTAAAAGAAAATAAATTATTTTGTCACATATGTATATATATATAATTTCTTGAACATTTCCCCGTGTGTATTTATATATTGTTTGGAAAATGTATTATAAAAATAAAGTAAGAAAACTATAACTATTTTTGTTTATTCATATGCTTTTATTTATTTTTTTTGTAAGGATGATCGATGTATGGTGTATATGCTAATGTGAAAACCCACTGCTATAAGTCGTATGCTTAAAAGTAATAAAGTAATCTACATGAATGAATAAATCATGTAAAATAAAATCGATTTAGAAAATATGAAAAGTTAGGCTAACGCTTAGAAGTAGCTACATAAGTATTTTACCAAAATCAAATATTCCTATTATTTAAATTATATTAAAAAAAACCCGTACCACTACAACCCATGAAGGGTCTGGGGTTCAGTACTATTTAGGGAAAGCACCGTTTCTAGGTCAACGGTTGTGCAAGGAGGCGATTTGACCGAGATCACGCTCAACCGCCAGGTTTTCCCCCTTAATTAATTACTTAATTGAGGGTACCCACTTTATAGAGGCTGGATGTGCCCCAGGAGGGACTCCTGACCCAAGGTCGCCCCACGGCCAATGAAACAGAAATAAATTTTCTGCCATGAGCCGGGGTTCGAACTCGGGACCCTTGTATTGGAAGCTGAGTGCCGAACCACTGAGCTACCCCGCTCCTTATTTAAATTATATTCAGAGATAATTAGAAGTATTAAATTACTCAGAACCCAGCATTTAGGGTGATATGTAGACGCCTTCCCCCAAGTCATCTATTTTCCGCAAGCGTAATTACAAACCCTATACGGATTTAGACACCACAATGCAGCCTGGCCGCTGGGGAACTTAAGTTGTTAAAAATTGATCCATAAATGTATTAAAAAGTTTTAAATGTTATAGCTAAGAGAATGTTATATAATTACATCATGATTTTACTATTTACAGTGTTAATATTGTTTTAAATACTTTTTTACTGACAGAAAATACTGTCAAAAGGCAAGAGGAATGAGTTCTATGTATACAAACTTTTTTTTTGTAAGCTTTTATTATGATATTCACAACTGTATTAGTATGAATACATCAAGTAAATGTGTACAGAGGAATATAATCACATGAAACACGCTTGTTGAGAAAATACCCATTATTAGCACTCTATACAAAATTAAAAAATAAATAAATAAATAAAAATATATTTATTAAATAACAACTATGATAAAAATAATATATTTAGATCAGAAACAAAAGTCTATAGATAGATAAATTACATAATTGGAGAATATGTAGACAACATATAAAAACAATTTTAGTTGAATAAAAACAAACCATCTCGAATACAGTCAAACCAAAAATGTACGATACAAATAATTTACCCAACATTTATTATTTATTTAAACAAAAAAAAAATGTTCCTAGTTAAGTGCCCAATGGCGAACTTAAGTTGTTTAAAATTAATCCACAAATATGTTAAAAAGTTTTAAATATTCAAACTAAATGTAAGGATTTTTCACTTAAATTAATGTTAACATTGATTGAATATTAATCTTCACAAAATAAATAAAATAATTGTTTTTAATAATAAAATTCTACATTACTTTAATTGGCAATATGTATAGTTGTTGGATTGTTTAAGATGCAATTAGTTTTGAGGTTTGTTAAAGACTAAGTTGATCACCTCTAGTGGCGTACACAAATAACTACAATAAATTATTACAAAAATTTATTTTAAAAAATAATTAATGCTTTTTAATAATTTATCGGATTTAATGAAAATCGATTGTATGTAACTTGCCAGAACCGAAAACAAAGCCCGATAACAGATTTTTTACACGTTTGTTATTAATAAAACGATAATGGTCCTATATCTTAAATAGCATTCGGAAAATATTGCTATAATCCAATATAGCCAATAGGCAGAGAGACTTAATTCTATAACAATAAGGTAAAAATTACAGCTCATTTAATATCAAACAAATAATTTTTGTTATTATACTTAAATAAATAAATCTACATATAACATATAGTATGGAACAATGGTAAGCATAATAATTATAGTCTTTCTAAAATAGCAAATAGTCTTTCTAACATACTTCATTACTAAAAACACAACATTTTTATTGAACAACCGGAAACTCATTAATCACAAGAGACGTGTGAAAATAAAAATAAAATAAAATAATAAAGGTAAATAGGCGAATTAACAATATTATATAAGTTCAAATTTTGATAATATTTGAGCAGCTTGATGAAATTATATTATGCAAAAATCCTTAATGATGCGTTGTTGTTATACATATACATGTTATACATATTTACGTTGTTTTATTTATTGTTTAAATATTTATTAAGTTAGTTTTTAGCCAGATATTTATTTTTTCTTTTGTAACTGTTCATTATTGTTATTAAAATGGAATATCGCTCAAGAATAAAGTTTGGTTTATATTTCTATTTCTGTATATAAAGGTCAAGAATTAAGCTAATTTGAACAACTACCGGTCTGATCTAGATTTTTCTATTTATTTATTTTTTGCGTTAGATAGCTGGTTTATTAAGGAAGGACGGAAGAAAAGCTGTTACAACGACAGATAGCAATCATACGGTACTCTAAAGTTCAACCAATTACAATTCGTTTAATTGCGAATATCCTATCAAATGGGTCCATGGTTCGAAAATAGAATAATTAATTAATTGTATTTCTCAGTCGGAAATAAGTTATTCATGATTCATGATGGTAGAGAAATAATTGACTCATGATAACATGGCTTATAAATTAGTTAGGGGTTGCAGACACAGTGAGAAATGGAAATAAAAATAATAAAATAGATTTTGAATACTTGATTGATGACCATTGTATATTTTAGAGGAAGATGGTCCGGGGTGGCGCTCATAAAAAGACTAAAATAGTGGAAAAACGATTTTATTTAAAGCCCACTTTTCGACCCAACTATGAATAGAAAGTACATAGAAATATTAATAACAATAAACATAATAAATAAGCATAATATTTCTATTCACACTCCTTATAATTTTAATAAATTTATTCATATTGTTTATAATTTTTATCTAAATATTTTGTAACTATCACAATTCTCTATATCCTTTTGTATCTTACTCGTTCTAGCAAAGTCGGCTATTTCCCCATCTCACATTCCCTTTTCATGCATTTTTGAGGGAAAAAAAAGTATTCCCTTCATGGAACTTCCCTATTAACATTTTATTAACGAATTTTGTATTTACTAATTTGTTAATTATTAATTTTTATTATAACGGTTATTACTGTGAACAAAAATATACAATAATGTTTGAGTCGTTTCCTCAAGACCTGTTAAAAAAAAATGCTTTTCAAAATAACATTTTTATTGACACGTGATTACATGTAGTGGCTGTAAATACGCATATATATTGTTGTATATTATTTTTTATAACTGTGTATTACAGATTTTTTTATCATTTTGATAATAAATAATCTGAAGTTATCTAATTTATGTGTTGTTTGTTATTTGTTATTGAGTTTTTCAATAGAAGTTGGAATAATTGAATTTATAATTTATTTTAGCAAGCATTTTTTTGGAATTGCGTCTATCTAGTTTATGTAACTTTTTGGGTATCTAATAATACAAGGGTCCACTATTTTCTAGTTGGGGGCGCTTTGTACGCATATGTCTGATTTGAGATTGAGCATCAAGTTTATGTTACTTTTTTGAATTCTTACATATCCGGAGCCACTATTTTCTAGTCGTCGGATCTTTTTATAAATATACTGTCGGATTTAAAATTGTTCGTCGATATTTTTTTATTTTTGGATTTCTTACATATAAGAGTCCACTATTAAGTTGTCAAGGAC